TTCAATCACCATCCAAGGTTCAGATTCTGGTCATTTGTGCAATAGTCTTTATTCATCAACTTCCAACACTGAACAGCTTGAAGACTTGCAATATTACCAGATCTAGAAATATATCAAAGATAAATACGTACCTGACATAGAAATCACATTGGCTGCAGTAGTTGGAGTAATTTCTGATTCTTTACTAGAAATGAAGATGGGAAATCACTTACTTCATAGTCAAACTCACTCTCAAATCCCTTTTCTGGTTACTGTCTGGATATTGGGACAGACATCCTTATGCTCAAGTCTCTTTATTGTGATGGTGGCTATAAAAATTCCTTTTCTTATCATTGATTTATGACGTACAATACAGGCGTCATACGCAGAATTCTCATTACCATTCATTGCTTAGAAATGTAATTCAAGATGGACTTTTGCTATTGTTGGGAAACAGAACCTGTGGGCTTTAATACTCATTATAAAGGTGAAAATGGCATTTATTTAACCTAATAAATTGGAAAGCTTTGCCACTGATTTCAGAGGGAGCAGAATTTGACCCTTCTTTGGAAAAGATGCTTCTTTTCCAAAGAGTAAATCAAAAGGGCTAGCTTAGAATTTCTACAGTGAAACCAGACCATGTAAGAGAATCTACCGCATTTTGCAGGCTTGTCTGAGCCTTCCATTGGAGAAGTCCCACGGAGTTCTTGTTATATATAACCCTAGCAAGCAGCAACGAGCAATAATGCTAAAATGCAGTCAGGCAGCTGGCACTATCATTTAACTGCTCACTCACCACTAATATATAAAGTGGGCTGCAAAGGTCAAAGCTTATATCCACAATATAAGTGTAAGAAGGCGACAAATGGGTCAAGATTAATTTAAACCTATAAACAGCTGCATAATAAAATAATATAGTGCAAGGTCACTGTGATTCTCCCATCTTCCAAAATAAGAAATTCTATTTGTTGTCCTTCTCTAACAATGAATATGTAGAATTTTCTTTTATTAATGCCTCGCTGTTAAAGTAATGGTCTACAGAAATCAATTATGTTTCAGTATTATTATATGTGGGACTATATCTCTGTCAAAATCTTTACTACCCATTTCCACACTTGTTTACTGTATATGTTAGTATGGATTCATACTATATAATGAAATATTCACAAGCAGAAAATCTGCATCAACAAAGAGTTAACACAAAGTATTTTTCAGTGGAATCTAGCTGACATTCCCCCAGAATTGAACTCTTGACTTTAAAAAAAAATCTAAAACTTAAAAGAAAAAAAGATAAAGATATTAAAAGTCTAGGCATTATTATATAAGGGATCTAAGTGAGTTCCTCATCCTCCATCTTTTTATGTCACCTCATTTGACTTAAATCATTGACCCGTACTAAATTTCCCCTTTGTTATGTTCTTGAATGGAACAAATTTTCAAAATTGATACATCTGATTTTTATATTATATGTGGAATGCAAATGTTTACAAAAAAATGCAGTTGTAGATTACATTACATTCAATATTCCTGCACTGAGGTGAGACTGGTTAAGGAGGAGAATATTTTTGTGGATAGAAATGGAGTGAGACACCTGATCTGGTGTTATAAATTACATTGATTCTGTGTTGTTGTAGGCTTATACATATGGATGTACAACTTGAAAGTTTGTATTTGCAATTAAATTGACAAATATATATAGTATTTTGTCATCAGTAACGTGTTGTATGTGTTACTTGTATGATGTTTTAGAAGCTGACACCCTGAATAGGAAATGGGATTTAATCCATTAATTTGCTGTTTTGATTTTTGATTTTTTTTATTTTAGAATGCAGAGTTCATGATCAGTGGGGTGCCAATGAGTGGAGGAGGATTATATGGCAGTGGGGGGATATCTGGGATTCTTAACTGGTCATTTTGAGGCTTTTTAGCATTAGCACGGTTGTTTGTTTTCAAAATTGTAGATTTTTTTTTAAAAAGGAATTTAAGATGTTAAGCGGACTAAATAAATCTCACTTGCAACCTTAAATCAGGGCTGGGGAAGAGTTTGTGAATTTTCCTAGAATTTACTGAGCACCAAAAAGAGAAAAGCAAAGCTCCACCAAAGCAAGGCTACCCCTACTCTTGAAGATGAGAAACATTTTCAAAAGCATTTATGACTTTCAATGTGATTTTCCTATGTGCCCATGTCACTTTTGGAAAAATAGAACTTAGCTCTTTAAGTTAGTTATGTGCTTTAGAAAATTCTCTCTCCTATCTAGAACATTTAATTGTTGGAAATTTAGATAGCCCTTTTTCTGTCTTCTCTGCCCCCTCCCCATGCTGCACTCCCTCTACATCTTACACATCCCTGCCTTTGCCTCCTGCAACCCACTCTGTGCCATCCTGTCCCCTATTTCCACCTCCATGTCTCCTGTTCCTTTTTCACATTCTCCCCCTGATACCCTCAAGACATTGTACTGCCTTCCAATCCCCAACTTCCATGCATTTCTCTATCCCCATCCAGCCTCCCCCTATCCTCTGCACTCCCTTCATGCCCTTTATATCCCATGCTCCAAATTCAAAACCATCACCATGTCTAGCTTAGGAATGTACAGAGCTCCAATCGCTGTAGAATATAAAAAAATGTCCCAAAACCCACTTCACCCCTCCTTCCACATCTTGACAGTCTCTTGTGCCAATAGATCTGCTGCTACATATACTCTAGTCCCATAGAAAAAGTCTGTGTCCCATGTGGTTCCCATGTCCTATCTTATCTTCCCTATAACTCCCAATATTCTACTCCCTTACCTTCTTTTTTTAGGCTCCTACTCCCTCCCAGACCTTCCACCTCTGCATCAATACACTTGTCATCATTGTATTAGCTCAAAAAATAAGCTACATCTACATGAAAATATCAAAGATCAGGCAAGCATTTATATATACAAATAACATTTCATTGTCACCTCTTAAAAAGTTTTTAAATGAATATACCATTTGAATAACATTTTGGAAAAGGTAATGAATTTAAATATCCTTTTTATGATCTGTGTTCATTATCCTCTTAAACATAGCTCAGTTTCTACAGCTTTTGCTAGACATATACATTTTCTCCATATATATCTATTTTAGAGAGTTTTTGCATCAGTCTATGAGTCCATTTGTTCAAGAGCTATTAATAATGGTAAGAGCTAGAATGATCAAATTTGGTATGTAACTTCCTCTTATCATAACTTAAAGCAAGGTCAGAGTTTGGTTGCACCAGGAAAATGGGAAGTGCTTGGAAAGGGATTGTTTTCCATAATAGAGAAAGGGAGGGCGCTGATCAGAGAGACAGCAATACTACAGAGTGACCACTGGGGGTAGCCGCAACAGCAGGCGAGTGTCCAGCTGGGGATGGGGTTTTAATTGCCAGCCACCAGAATGGGTAAGTAGTCCTCTTCCCCAAACAGTGCTGAATGGAGGGAGCCCCCCACCTCCACTGGGACCAATCCCAGGGCCAAGAAGAGCAGCATGGCCCTCATCCAAGAGATGTCCTCCCTCAAAGAGAGGCTGGGGCAGGGAAGGGCTGCCTGGTCCTCTCTGATGGAGATGCCCTCTTTGAAGGAGAGGCTGGGAATCATGTCATGACTCCTGCCAGAGGAGAGGCCTCTACCCAAAAAAAGACACTAGGACTGGCCCCAGACCTGCTGAAGTGTGGGGTGGGGGTGGCTAGAGACCAAGGCTGGCCACCAGAGCCATGCTCCCTTAGACCAGCTGCAGGATGGGGGGAGGGCCTGTGGAGGCCAAGGCCAGCCCTCTGAGCCCTACCCTCCTAGACCAGCTGCAGGGGAAGCAGCTGGAGGCCAGGGCCTCTTATCCAGAGGCATGCCCCCCACCAGACCAACTGCAGGGAGGAGGGGGGAGGGCGAAGCTGGAGGGACCAAGGCCAATAATGCCAATCTCCTAGACTCACCCTTTGAAGAAACTGACAGTGTTCCTAGAGTACAAAGAATACAAAAATCAAACTAGAAATCACTGAACCATAATGAGGCAAGTATAAGGCTCAGGATAGACAGCTCAGCAGGCAATGGAAGAAATCTGTGAAAACAAGTATATGGTGCACCAGAACTGTCATGTTGTGCTGCATGCCTTCTGAAGGAAGAAAGGCAGAACTGCATAAGAATCATTATGATCATTTACTGTTATAGATAGGGCAGATTTTGCCATCTTTATTCATGATAATTAGTACCATTATCTGCAAGTAGTTCCACTGATATATCACTAGGACATCTCCCAGACTAGAATAGTATTCAACTCGAATAAAGGTGACTGAATCTGTCCCATATAGGAATGTAAGTGACTAGTTGCATTTGCTTATCTGGTAGTTGAATAGTGACTCAACTAGTCGCTACCCTCCTCCTCTTGCTGCCTCTATCAGAGAGAGGCAACAAGAGGGGGAGCAGGAGCCGGTGTTGAGGGGTAGCCATCTTAAAAGCTGGTTTCCCCCAGCAGCACCATCTCCAAGGAGGTAGGGCCGGGGAAGTTGAGGCGCAGCAAGGAAAAGGTGCGAGCGGGGACTGAACCTTGCTACATTTTGAAGGGAGAGGCGGAACCCAGATGAGCGAGGACTGCTTGAGTCCCCACTGCTCTTCTGCCTGGAGCACCCCACTCCTTATCGACTAATCAAGTAGTCGATGGAAATGCCATCAACTACTCAATTAGTTGATTAATCAAAATTTAACATCCCTAGTCCCATAATGATTCTCAGATGCTGGCAGTAAGAGACTGACACTGCATCACATTTTGAAGCACAAGCTGATGTCAATGTAAAATATGTATTTTCAAATATTAAGTGCAAGTATTAAGCATATTTTTAAGTATAAAATGAAGCAAAGCCAGAATTTAAAATCTACTTCTATAGCTTTTCTTCAACACATAATATCTTAAAAAGAAATGTGGGGAATATTCTGATAGATACAATGTATGTGTTGTGCACATGAAATTAGATGACAAGATAAATACCAGTATGCTTAATAAAAACAGAAGAACATAAATCAGGCAGAGTAATTTTATGCTCTATTTACTCTCCAAGGAACATCACTATCTCATACCAGAAGTCGTAGGACATACGACAGGATGTAAAAAAGACAAAAAACAAAATCAAATACAGGCCTCATTTTCCCTTCTCCCCTCCCACCAAAATAGTCCGAGTTGTAGTTAGATGCTCTATCTGATAGTGGTGTTGCATAACTGGCACTGACTTCCTTTCAGATACAAGACTGCAGTTTGGAATTAGTTTTACCCTTCACATATTTCACATTGTCTGTCTACAACACTCAACAAAAGTACTCAGACCTGGAGCCCTCGCTTTTGAACGTCATCTGAGAATCCATGCTTGACCGAGAACAAAGCAAAAGTCTCTCTGAATCATCAGTGTTTCTTCGAGTCCAGAGTTCTCCTCCTGTGCCCACTGACCGGGGCTTAAGGGAAAGTGTTTCAAATTTGACATAGGTTTCTTTGGCAAGGTCAGCTTCCTTAGCAGATTTTGGTTTCCTTTGAAGTTTTAAAACTTTATAGAGTAAGAAAAATATTAAAGGTAAAACAATCACACATGCTGCACTGCTAGCCAGGACTAAAACAGAAACTTGAGAACTGCTCTCATCATTTATTCCATCAGTGGAGAAAATAATGCATTGATCTTTTGTAGGCGGAACTCCTTTGGGACAGACACATGCCATATATTGTGTACTGGGCTGCAAACCATCTATTGTGACTTTGTTTTTGCTGGGATCTGTACTCAGAGGCAACATATCTTTTTCACCATATTTTGAGTACAACACAGTCACCGCAGAGCTGCTTGTGACATTGATGGTTTTCCAAGTTAAGGTAACTCTTTCATCAGATTCACTAATAACTCTTAGGTTCTTTATGGTGACGTTCTGTTCAGGCAGTGCTGCTGCATTCAATGAAGTCACCTCATCTTTTTTGCTTGTTTCTTCAGGCTGTTTTTTGTTTCCATTTGTTACTCCCTTTGAACTTTTTTTTCCATCAGGCATGGGCTTGGATTGTTTTTTGTCTGTGATCTTGGCACTTGTTGGTCTTTCAGTGGTAGCCATTGTTGTGGGTAGGGATGTTAAGGGTGGAGGTGTGGTGGTCTTTTCAGATTCTTGCTTGGCTTCATCCTGTGTGTTATTTTGTTGGTCTGCTCCAATTTTCTTCCCATATTTTTGTGGTGACACAGTTGTAGTGACAACACCAACTACAGTGACTGTAACAGCAGCTTCAGACATTCCTGCCAAATTTTTGGCCTTACATCTGTAGTCCCCTGCATCTTTGTATGAAATCCCCGTCAAACTTATTATGGACCATCTGACACCCTCTCCTGGAGTTTCTTGAATTACTAAAGGAAAATAAAATGCATATAGTAAAACAGGGTAACAGTAAGCTAAAAGGAAAAATAAAGAAAAGGCTTTAATACTATCCCTTCAATGCTTTTGTAATATTATAAAGAACCATTTCAACTGCATATATTGTTTTTTAAACACAACTCCATACCATATGATAGTCTTGGAAAAAAAAGAGTTGAGGTCTGATCTATACAGCAGACCTACATCAGTATAACTATATACTCAGGGGTGTGAAAAATACACATCCCTGACTGACATAATTATAACCTAACACCCTGTGCAGACAAAGCTCTGTCAGCAAGAAAGCTTTTCCTGGTGACATAGCGGCCACCACTCCAAGAGATGGATTAACTGCACCGACAGGGAGCTCTTTCCCATCTGCATAGAGCATCATCATTACAGAGCTACAGCTGCATCAATGCAGCTTTGCTGATGCAGTGTTTTAAGTGTAGACTTGCCCTGAGTAAGGTTCAAAAATAAAACTAGACATTTATAAGAATGATAAAACTATTTTCAGTTTCACTATACAAAACAAAACTATTTAAAGAGACATAGAGAGGGCAAGTTTCAAAGATGCATAAGTGACTTGGCAGCCTAAATCTCATGAATTTTAAAAAATAAAGCTCACTGACCGTCAACAAGACTTAGAACCTTAAATGTCTAAATCCCTTTAGGAAATGGTATGTTGGCTTCTAAATCACTTAAATGCTCCTGAACAGGGCTGGGCAAAATACTGCTCACAGGATGGATCTGGCCCACAGGTGCAGTGGACGCTTCAGTCAGGCTCTTTGCCTGCCCTACCCCCACATGTTCCTCAGTGCAGCCAGCTATGAACAGCTGCAAGCCTCGGGGGAGGAGAGGGAAGAGGCTTTGTATGCTGCCCCAGCTCCCAGCACAATCTTATAGCTCCCATTGGCCAGAAATGAGCCAATGGAAGCTGCCTGTTGGAAGACCAGGCAGTTTGTGTAGTACCTCACCACCACAGACACACATGGCCCTACAGCCGGTTGCTCTGAACGACCTGTGGGGGCATGGAAGGCATCCAACCCACTGTGCTGCTGGCCGGGAGTCACCCAGATAGTGAATCCCAATGGGAGCCTGCCTCTGGCACCCCAGTTCATTCCTCCCTCCAACCCTCTGCCCCCTCACTTCTGCTCCTCTACCCCACTTAACTCAAATCATCTGCTTCCCCCCTCCTACACCCATACACTGTTGATACTACCGGCCTGGCAACCCCAATCTCCTGCCCACGCCCCCAGTCACAACCCCCTACCGTCGGTCACAATTCAAACCCTTGCTTCCCTTCCTGCACCCAGTCTCCAGCCTCAGGCCACAACCCCTTCCTTCACCCAAACTCCTTCTCATATCCCACACTTCCTCCTGTACCCCATTCTCTTATTTCTAAGTTCCCTTCTGCACCCAGTTTCCATCCCAGGCCCTGTATCTTCCCTATTAATACCATGGAAGAGTGCGGCCCTTGATCACTTACTAAATTCTTGGAGTGGCTCCCCATCAAAAATTATTGCCCACCCCTGCTCTTGAAGGTTTCACCCATCAGTCTTCCCTGAAGCACTGGTACAATCCCAAATTGCAATGATTCATTCTATCATGTGTACACCATCTCACAAGGAAGGTTAAAGTTTAAACATGTATTGGAAATTGAATTATCCTGTTTTATTAATGGTAGCACACAGGTCAGGACTGGAGCACATGACTGGAATAGGAAACAGCAGCCTGCAGGCCTGCCAACAGGTAGGGGATAAAAGGAGCAGTTGCCCCAGCGACGGGTGATTCATAGAGGTCCGGGGCTCCCAGCCCCCACTGTTGATACTATAGCAGCAGTGGTGGCCAGTGCTCCAGGCCCTTTAAATCACTGCCAGAGTGCTGCTCCACATGCCTGTGAGGACCGTGGGTGAGGGATGGCAGCACGACACTTCACATGTTATGAAGAGCTGGCTGCCTGGCCCCGCCCCTTATGACTGAGCACCCGCCCCTTCCAGGAACCACAGAGCTCTCAGCCCCATTGAAAACCTGGACTATCCAGGTGGAAACTGTGTACTGAAATTTCCCAGAGCTGTCTATCCAGAATCCTAAAGAGCCCACCCATACAAAAAACATTTATGTTGAATTAATAATTTTTAGTCCAATTTTTATTATGTGGATTTTAATTATTGTCAACTCTTTAGGTGAAAGATAAGCACTGTAAATAATAAATAATTGTAATGCATTGTATTTCAATCTTACAGATCTGCGCGTCTTCACTATTTCTGTGCTCTACAAAAATAATTGTGACATGGGCAGCAAAAACACACATGCATTAGAGAGAAAAAGAGAGAGCGCATTCCAGTTACAAAAGTTATTCACTCAAATTCTGGAAAAGTTTGGATTTGAATTCAGAATTCAGAGTTCAAACCGACCTCTACAGAACATGTAACCACCAAAATATTCTGAGTTATTAGGTTCGGAGACAAACAGTTCAATTCCCAGACTTTTCTAGGAATCTCAGATTTTATACTTTTTCTGTCTTCATTTTTTCCAGTTCTTCTTTAAATCCCAGAGATAATCCTTAGATATTAACCTTGCTGGCATCTACAGGCAGCCTCCAATATTGCACAATAACAATTTATTTTCACTTGTGTGTGGGTTTACAATACAATGTTATATCGTTTCATTCCCATGAACCCATTGCTTAGAAATAGCAAAACTTCTGAATTGCCAGATGCAACTACTAAAATTGGTTGACACAACAAAAACAACATCAGATATCCACCGACTCTTTACCATTTAGTCCAGACAATGGTGATAAATGACAAAAAAAATCAAACTAATATTTATGATAAAGCTAATGCTTACCATAAAAACTGCTGTGTTTAAATAACTTAGTTATGACTTCACTAGCTTTTTTAACATGAATTTTGTACTGGACACAAGACAAAACTGAAATTTCAAATCCAAACTACCCCCTCCAATTTTGGGATCCTGAATCTAAGCACTCCTATCTAGTCTTGGTTCCATGCCATGTTCAGAATAGGAAGTGACCTGTTTGTCATGTTCACGTTCAGATATGGATTAATTTAACACAAACAGGGGTGAAGAGATTCTGGCCCCAAATGATGGAAATGCGAGAATATCTGGTCTTGTTTGTTTTCCACCATACATATGATCTCAAAGATCAATTCCAAGCCTAAATGATCAATATTTCTGGATTTTCATATATCTTAGTAATAAATTATTAAATACCTGTATAGTTCACCGGTAAATTGTCTGACCTGATCCAGGTAAGCTGTGGGGTTGGATATCCAGTGGCATCACAGCGTAGCAATACATTACTTCCCAGAGGTGATGTGATTTTTGTTGCTGAAGTCATCACTGATGGTTTAAGACATTGCTCCAGCTCTGCTCTCTGGAACAAGATACCTGCCAGGCTCTCAGGTCCACTACAAGCCACAAGAGGATCTAGAAGTATAACAGAGGTGTCCACTATTTTGGAAAATTCAATTAGCTTTGAAATCCGACAGTCACAAAACCATGGGTTGTCCTGCAAACCTAAAGCAGAAAAAAAAAGTATACACTAAGTTTAATCATGAAATCCAAATAATGCCTGAAAGTGGGAGATATCAGTGTGTCTAAATGCTAATAGGGGGGCATCTCGCCGGGCGCCACCATTTTTAAATCCCCCTTAGTGCGGACTCCGTACCTGCGGCTACACGCGGCACGGAGTAGGTAGTTCGATTTAGGCTCTCTAATTTGAACTACCATTACTCCTCGTGGAGGCTCGTAGAAAGCCTAATTCGAACTACCTACTCCGTGCCGCGTGTAGCTGCGGGCACGGAGTCCGCACTAAGGGGGATTGAAAAATGGCGGCGCCCGGCGAGATGCAAATGAAGCCCAGAATATTTAAATCCAGGGCTTCATTTGCAACTTCGAATGCCTACATTAGCCACCCTAGTTCGAACTAGGGTGGCAGTGTAGACATACCCTGGGAGAGCTGCATGCCTCTTTTAAGTTAATGCAATTTTTTTTGAGGTTCAGGAATAAGGGTTACAGCTGTTTTGTTAACATATGATAAACTAGACATTTTCCCCACAACCACCTACATAGAAAATGATATGAGTGGTCATGTTCCACACTAAATTGTACCATTTTTTCATTGCTTTGAAACAACCTCAGAAGGAGCAACCTTGGTTAGCTGCCCAGTATGGTATTTCACCAGCATTTTGTTTCTTGGCAGATCTTTAAAGTACAAATAGATCTTATAACAGCTATGGCTATATTTTGGCCTCCTCTGCTCTCTTTCTACTCCTTCAATTAGTATGGAATTTCTAAGCGTCTCTTTCCTTTTGAGGCACTTTTTTCAGTGCTTGAATTTTGATTGGGGAGAGAGCACTGATATAAGTGTTCATGATTTTATACCAACACTGCTGCCATAGAACAGAGATGACTTTCAGCCAATAAAGTTTAGATCTGGATCTGAACTTTCCCTAAGTTCAAGAATGTTTGGATCCAGTGATCTCATTCAGACCAATCTTTTAACATAAAATATTTAAAAGTTGGAGGGGGGGGGAGAGATAGGTTGAGAGAGGGAAGAGAGAGGAACTGTTGAAAGAATTAAAGGATATTCACATTTTAATGGCAAACAAGGACTGGGCCTCTCCTCATTTTACTTCAGAATATTTACCCTTTGGTTATGAAGAACATGAATGAGGGGGAATTTGATTTCAGGTGAATTACAGTGGCCGTTCTATAGTAATTTAGGTTCAGATCTTATATTGGTGTAAGACAGAATAGCTGTGTTGACTTCTGATCCACTGTGTTTCTTTAATAACGTTAAATAGTTTCTGATTTGACTTTAAATCTTTCAACATGCCTCCCTGGAACACTTCTTTTATCCTTTGAATATTATCAATAAATAGAACTAAAAGGGGAGACTAAGGGGGAATATGATAGAGGTCTATAAAATCATGAGTAGTGTACAGAAAGTGAATAAGGAAAATTAATTTACTTATTCCCATAATATAAGAACTAGGGGCCACCAAATGAAATTACGGGGCAGCAGGTTTAAAACAAATAAAAGGAAGCTATTCTTCACACAGTGCATAGTCAATCTGTGGAACTCCTTGCCTGAGGAGGTTGTGAAGGCTAGGACTATAACAAACAGGGTTTAAAAGAGAACGAGATAAATTCATGGAGGTTAAGTCCATTAATGGCTACAAGCCAGTCTGGGTAAGGAATGGTGTCCCTAGCTTCTGTTTGTCAGGCGGTGGAGATGGATGGCAGGAGAGAGATTGCTTGATCATTACTTGTTCGGTTCTCTCCCTCTGGGACACCTGGCATTGGCCACTGTCGGCAGACAGGATACTGGGCTGAATGGACCTTTGGTCTGACCCAGTATGGCCATTCTTATGTCCCAACTCAAACTATTTGTGTAGGTGAGACAGAAGAGCCCCCAATGCTATCATAATGGGTTCATTATAAGTGGGCAAGCAGAAATAAACTAAAAGCTGCTACTTTGCAATGAAAGCCTATAATTACCGGATACTCTAAACAGTTTAGCAAACTAATCATGAATGAAACCCAGATGAGGAGATACAATACACAACTCATCATATGAAAAGATGCATTAGCTTTAGGACTAATTAAATAAAAAATTGGAATTATTACATTACCACCTTTCTTTTCTCTTTCCAAATATTTTTGTTTTTAATCCCTTACTATTTTTTTTAGAAAAAAATCATTGACTGTAGAAATAAATGCTTCCCTTTACTATGTGACCAAGATTAGGTTATTTTAAGCACAAAGGCAGTGGTAAACTCTAATTAATCCCACCCTTTAAAACAAGACTTGACCTGAAGAGATTCCCAATGATGAGTTCATGACATCACAATCCAATTTTATTCCTTCCAGACACGAGTGATTTTAAAGCTATTGACTAATTGTTACACACAATAAAAGGAATAGGCAAATCCAAGAAAACTGGTTCCGCTATTATATTTTTTAAAAGCTAATTTATAGGGAACAAGGAAGTACACACACTTAAAATATGACATAAAGCTTTGGATATATATGCTAATTTCACGAGAGTTTATCAGATTATATAATACATAAGACTTCCACACAATTTAGTCACAAAGGTAATTTCAACATGTTTCCTCTACCATCAGTCCATACCAATAGCTGTCCCTTTGCACTGTATACGTGAAGTAGAAACATGAGTAAAACCTACAAGGCAAGGAGAAGGTGGAAGTTTTCAATTTCAAGCCTACTCCTTTAGTATACAAGATAAAGTTCCTTCCCATTCACATATACAATGCAGGTATTGCAAAAGCTACTAATTGCAAACAATCCAATGTAATGCCCTCAACTCCTAGGGCTGTGTAAATAAATGTACATACCATGAAAGGATGTTGGGACCATTGTGCAAAGCAAAGGTGCCCAGGGTAAACTAAATGTTATTTACCCACATTCTCTTAAATATACATTTCTTACCTTTTGGAATGTTTGTATGCTGTTGAGTTGGGACAGTTTTGTCTCTAAAGATTTAAATAGTTTATATTATTTTTTTTAAATGGTCTGATCCTGCAAAGTCTTATTTGTGTGAATTATAATGATAAAAGGGATTTTTAGGATTAGTCCCTTAAACTGGCAAATTATTCATCAATATAACTGAGTGACTGAAATATATTTGTCTAGTGTAAATCTTTTAAAACATAAAAAGCACACAAAAATATTAACAAATAATTCCACTGAAAGCTATTATGGTAAGAGAAAGTGAATGTTGTTGGGTTAAGCACTTGATTGTCAGGCACCTCATGTGCAAATAATCTTCTGAATTCAAATTCATTTTTCTTCTGTCAGTCCATGCCACACAAAATGCATCTCATTAGGCCAATATGGTTCATTAATTTTGTGTGACAATGCCATAAATTAAAAAACCAATATCCTGCTTAAAGAGACAATGTAGTTGTAGACTTGACACACTAATATCTGGGGACCATCACAGCTACGACAACACTGCATACAACACTCTGCTTGTGAGTCAGGGTAATGCCACCAATCTGATTGCTGAGATTAATTATAAGTGGTCAGGGAACCCCGTCATGCTCTGGAACACACTTTTCTACAGAAAGTAGTTCTAATTAGGGATATGAATGGGTAACCAGTTAATGGATGACACTTACTAGGTAATAGTTAACTGTTACCTGGGATCAGTTGTGGTCAAAGGGCTGCTCCAGCCCCATAGGGCTGCTCGCTCCCAACACACGCAGGCTGGGGTTTGGCAGTTCCATGGGGGTGGGGGTAGGCTGATTCCCTTACCCAGATATATCTGCCCCTGCTGTAACCCACCAGACCCCTCTCCCTTCCCAGAGCTGAGATAGAACTCCGGAGCTCTGAGCTCTCTCTCTCTCTCTCTCTCTGGAGAGTTAGTAACAACTTAAGAATTTACATTAAAATGTTAAACCTAATAGTGTCCCTTCAATGACCTGCCACTAGATATCAGAACATATTATTAGAGCTGAGTGAGTCTAATATTTGTCTTTCTTTTATATAGGAATTAGATACAGGACTCCTGTCAGCTAACTGCCAAAAAAAACTAGAGAGTTTTCAAGTGCCTAAGCATTAAGTAGACTTCAGAATCATAGTTAAAGTTGCCCCCTATAACCAAAATCTGAAACGGCATCCCTGGGGGCACAGATTCCAACACTGGTAAGGTAGGGCGTGACAGTAAAATAAGGGGCACCACTGTCCTAAAGGAATGTACTGCTATTTCCTTCGCACAATTCTCTTCCAAAGCAAACCATTCAATGCACATATAATGTATGCTACAATAAAATTTGAACTGTAATAGCAAAATGTTAGGGATACTTCTTGAGGAATGTGTTGTCTCATTTGAGTTATTGATGTCAGGCCTACTTGAGATTTGTTCTGTGCTGCATTAACCTCTAATAGTCATTGCAAAACTCTTATAGTATATAACAGTGTTTCTCAACCTTTTTTTTATATAAAGTACCCCCCTTTCAAAAAAAACATTATAAGTACACCCAGTACCTTCAGTTTTCAGACACACCATTGCAACACATTTGTTTAAACAACTTAATTGTAGCCGGGTGGATGATTAAATTTTTGGTTGTAAAAAGTACAAAAATAATAAAACACTATAAAACTGAAACAAAAATTCAGTTTTCTCCAAATTTCAGTTGTGTTGACGTACCCCCCAGACGCTTCCTAAAGGTACTCGTACCACTGGTTGAGAAACACTGTTATAAAAGGTGAACATTTAAAGATGTGTATTAATCAAAAAGGTTATTTACCCTAATAACCTGTTAAACTCTATTCCACTGGAAATTATTAACATTTGCAGAGAGCAAGTTTCAAAGTCTGGCATGTGCAACTGCACATTGACCTTTGAACATGATTACTTGATGCCCGGAAAGAACTGATGTTCATGAATATGTCAAAAGCCCCTTTGCTCCACTCATCTGAAGAAGTAGGTTGTGCCCACCAAAGTTCATAATACTATTTTTTTGTTAGTCTCTAAAGTGCTACAG